TCTCATGTGCTTTAGGACAATGAGAATTTAATACAAGACTAGTGGATGTAAAAGAGATAAAAACTGAACAAACTGGCCCGGCATAATCACAGATTTCCTCCAGAGAGCTTGCCAGCATGAGGCTCATCTGCACTTGTAACATATCAACATTTTATTGTTTCTTTCTTCCACGAATCTGCTATGAAACAGAATTTCACAGCAATGTTTATCTTAGGACAGAGCTTACTTTCAACTCCAGTGGGGACACAGACCAAGAGTTCTTTCCAAATTTATCATCTCTATCCTGAGCATTATAATGACTGATATAATATCAGCAAAAATCACTAATAATTTGTTTGAAGGCTGCTGAGAAATGTGTTAATAAATTCATTCTTTCTTATTCTTGCAATGGGGCAAAAAGAGCATCCCAAATGTCAAGGGTCACTATCCTTTATAATATTCTGTAAAATGACTTTATCATATTTAATCACACTGGTGAAAAAATAGGATTTAATAGCATATTTTCACTGTATTTTATGTGCTATAGAATACCGGCTTATATAGCTTTAAGAAATGTTGCCATACTGTAGTTGCTGTATACTCTCAGCAAAGTATGGTTCAAGTATTGTTAAATATAATCATAGACAAGTTACCTTCTGTATTTGATGAATAGCACAATGTATTTGAAATTAATTGCAAAAGTAGGGCTTGGCTAATGAGGCAGTCCTTATCTTTTCTCAGCAGTGCAAGCACAAGTATTTTTCTGCTGGCTCAATATTTTCTTTTAAATGCCCAAAGTGCTATTAGCTAAGTTGAAATCTGATTAAAACAACAAAACCAGCACCTGAACTGTCACAACAGTCTAACGCAGCTCCAGGAAGTAAAGGCTAGCCCTACGCTTTGTTGTTGGCATGTGTTTTTGAAAATAATAATTAAATAATTGCTATTGCTTCTCTCTATTGCTTCCACTCCCATTAGCATTTTTGAAAACACTTTGCCAAGAGTGGAGGTGTTCTTTAGTGGAGAATTATAGGTCCAGAGCTTTCTATATGTCTGAGCTTTAGAGAAACAAATCTATAAAAGGTTTAGGGCTTTATATAGGGCTCTTCAAAAAAAAAAAAAAAGGACACCATGCCATGAAAGAAAAAAAAACAGTAGAAAAAATTATCAGCCATTCAAGAGAATTAATGGATATCCACAAGGGCTTTGCTAATAACATGGGTTAATTACCACTGCAACGCACCAGGCTCAGTAAATAAAAGAGCACAACCATAAACACATTAAAATGAGCAACCATCACTAAAAGAGGGGCCAGCCTCAGTAAATGGAAAGCTGTCAAAGAGCCATTTCAAAGCAAGCCCTTTACACTTTCTGCAGGATTTGAAAACTTGCCAAAAAAAGTCTATGAAAAACAAAAACAAAACTTAAAAAAGAAAAAAAAACAGACACAGGGAGGAAGGCCCTCTTGCTGTCCAAGGAGAGACCATACAAGGAATCTATTCATTCAAACACACTTTGAGGCTTATTTCATAGCAGAAAGGTTGGTTCTACATTTTGTGCTTGGCAGGGGAACTTAGACCTTATTGGTTTGGGACCAGAATGCTAACTGCTTGCTTTATTTTTTAAAAGGGTCAAGATAACACACACCTGTAATATGTGAGGTTCAAACCTCCACGTCAAAGAAAGCAACTGTAGAGTGAAGTCAGTTGTCACTTCCCACTAACTGGTAAAGCAATGTTCTATAAGCCCACCTTTTCTCCACCTTCATAGATTGCTTTTTTTTCCAGATCAAATTATTTGTAACTAAGAGCTATATCAAAATATTTTGATAGGGGAAGAATGAAACTAAGACAAATTCCCTCTCTCATTATATATAAGTAAACATACAAACAATACCAAGATTAGGGCATGATATTGTTTAAAAAATAATATGAAATATATGTACACTGTCATCGCATCAAAGTATTTTTTCTACTGTATGTAACTCCATTATAGGTCCATTTCTTTATCTAAATTTCACTTATCTTATTTGAGTTTTCCTGTCATAATCTGTGCATTTTATTTCTCATACTATAGATCAAATACAAATGCATGCAACATTGTAACAGGAACATTTGTTTCTTTTTCATTAAATTCTTTTGCATATTTTTTGAATGGGGAAAGTAGGGAAGGGGTCGAGGGGTTCAAATTCATGAAACAAATAGAATGAAGCACAAAGGGCAAATGTACACACTGCACAGAAGCTATCTGCAGTCACAAATCTATTCAGTTTTCTATGTTTGGCATTCAGAGATCATGTTTAAATTTACTAAACTAGTTCCTCCCCCTCCTCCCCTTCTTTGGAGTATTTCAATTGCCTTTCCTTCTTCCAACAGCTGTGACAACTGTTAAAACAGTCAGTAAAATTAAGTCAGCTCTATAATCCTGTAGTCAATGTTACATTTTAATCAGAGGTTGAAGGAGATTTCATGTTATGAGCACGATTCATTTAGAATGATTAAACTGACACATATGTCAAAATGAGCAGATATATTTATTGCATCTGTTAGGTTATTAACTATTATTATTAAATATTAGAATTATTGTTACTTTTGTAAAGCAAAAACCAAGGCTGTAAATGGCTGTAAGTGATTGCATTCTTTAACATGCTCTGCCTTAAAAAATCAAAGCATACCTAGCGACGGTCAGGCAGATGTCCCAAAATGTTCTGTCAATTTTTAGCTGGGATCCTCCTCTACGCAATAATTAACTGTAGAAATTATCCACTTCTGGAAATGCTTCATTCACTTATATAGCATTCTCTGTAGGTCCTTATGCATATGGACATGACAGCTTACAGACAAAATGCAATTACTATGAATATTGATAGTTTTGGTGTTTATTAATTGAGACAGAGTCACAGATGTGTTTCTGAATATTAGATATTTCTGTCTGTCCACTCAACCACGCACCCAACACAGCCTACATCCGGAAAGTAAATTGGATTGTTTTAAGAAGACTTTTAGTTGAGCCAAAGGGGGGGGGGGGAGAATTAGTTTAAATCTTGCACCAGAGCCAAAAAGACATGTGCCCTGATTTCATTTAAATGCATCTACTTTAAGAGGCTTATCTAAACTAATCATTCAAATTAGCTGTAAGAAGGTAAATTCAGGAAAGCTCCTTTCAAAGAGAACCTCTTCCTACCTTTAATTTTTTTTAAACCCTTATTTTCTAGGGAAAAATTAAAATATTAAGTGAAAGCTGTGAACATTGCATTTATTCATATGTGAAGACAATTTACTGCAGTTCATGGAGCACTGACCTATAAACCATATCTTAGTGGGCAACCTATCTTTGTTTATTTTCATCTCTTTACCCCTTCAGTTTTAAAGGGGGTTCTTCCCTCTCTTACTTCAAACTGTTTTCCTAATGGCAAGTCTATTTCCTGCTGTTCTCTTTAACTCCTATGTTATATCACAAACATACAGTCACTGTAAGTCACTTTCCATCTCTGGCTTAATTACAAATAGCTATGCAATATGCAGACACTAAGGACAGCTAGTGGGCATCTACCTATAATACACTGTCACCTCTCTATACAGCCTCCCTACCCAGTGCATCTAGGGATGTACTTACTATTAGCATTTTTCTTCAGTATTACAACATTCATTGCTAGTGTAATAGGAAAGCCCAGCAAAATAACTGGCTCGACATAAAGAAAAATGAATCAATGACAGCTCCCATGATATACTAATATTTAATCCTGACTATAGGTTGAAATCAAGTTTATGAGCCACTCATCACCACTAGCATGCTGGATTTTGTTTGGGTTTTCTGCTTTTGATCTCAGAGAGTCCAAGTATTTATACCTGCATATATACAAAACTAGGTAGTTAATAGGTACAGCTGAAACAACTATATAAAATCATATATTAAAAAAGTAGTTTATTGTCTTTTGCAGGGACAAACCAACACAATGAAACAAGCTACAAGCTAATGGGAACAAATGTACTTCATTATATCAGTTCTCTATTAAAGTACAAAATATTAAAGTCAGTTTGGTTCTTTTCTTCCTTAATATTTTCTTCTCCTTTATTAAAAAGCACAGAATTCCCTTGTTATTCAGTAGACTGATATGTCAGTGAAGAAGTGCTGGTTGAACAGCATTTTAGACCTGAATTGCAGAAGGCTAATTGTGAATATTCATCCTTAAAGAGGTATTAGCAGTTATTTTCCCGGCTAACTCTGCACAGTCAAAAATGACAGGGAGACCAGAATATCTATCAAACTGCAAATACACGAGAAAGGCACTAGTGTAAATCATTTGTATAATACATTATTTTAAATCCTTTCCCTGGGAAAATGTGTCCTACTGCAAGGCATGTTTTAACAATTCACTAAGCATTTGTGCCAAGTGCCTATTATTAGTACCTGAATAAGAAGTGACTGTCACACAGCTGTTTTACTGACAGTCACAGGGCTTTGACTCAAAGGTAACATTGTAGTCAGAGAACAATTCTCCACTTACTGAATTAGCAGATCATCCTCAGCACAAAAAAGACAAGACAGACACAAATAACCGTTCATGCACACACAAGCCACACAGCACTACCTGAATCAATGTTTACATTATTTTCATTAAAAAAAAAAGGTTAAAAAAAGAAAGGAAGAAAGATACCTACTCTTCTTCGTAGTGAAGGGAAAAAGATTCAGGAAGACAAAGTTCTACCGAATCCATGTGCGCTCGGCAACCATTATTTGTGCACCCCAGCAATAAATCAAAGTTTCCTTGACAGAGCACAGTGCAATTAACACAAATGTTCTCCTGGTGACAAGCCTATAGGCACAGCCAGTTGGGACCAAAAGCTCTCACAGTCTCCTAATCAAGGACTTAAAGCCCCGATTGGAGCTTATTAATATGAAGTAGGGCTTTACATATGCAGTCCCACTGGCCCAGACAGATACTGGATTGGTAGCACATTAGCCAATCAGATGTGAGGAGAACAGAGACTGCACAGATTGAGAAAAGCCAGGCAGGTACAGAGGGGTGGAGAAACTGAAAGAGACTGAAAACAGAGTAGGGACTTAATAAAAAGAAATGTAAATGTTACCAATATTTTTCTAAGGGGCTACAAAGAAAACCTAATTAGCATAACTCTCTAGGCACTAGATGTTTTCTGTAATTTAAAACACTATTAGTCAAGTACCTTGAATGGAAGAAATACATGCAGACTCTCAGTTAATGTTGTGAAGAATTCATCATAAGGTAGAGAACTAAGTTTGTGCTGCTATTGTCTGTTTATTCCATTGTTGTTATTTGGGAGGATTTTGCTTGGGGGAGGGGAAGAGGGTTTAAGTGTTTTTGCTTTTTTCATGCAAAAATGATTTTTTTATCTTCTAAATTTTCTGGTATGTACTAAGAAACTAAGCTCAAAATTAACTGTTCTAAAGATCTGCATTGTCATTTTAACTGTAAGTTTGTGTTGTCAGTTTTATTTAAAAAAAGAATATTTAGAACTGAAAATCGATACCAACTTAACAGAAAAACTAATATTTTAAAAATGCATTTGTTTCAACAGCACAGATGCACGCATTGTTATGAGCACATATGTGTACACATACATATATCAGATCCATGTTAATATGGCATACTTAACACATTAGCCATAAATGCACATATCTGCATGTTCATAAACAGAAGGGAAAGCTCCAGCACTGACTAATTTCTTCTGTAACTGTGGAGGGATTATAATGGACTCAACTCAGTCTGTTTCATTTTAATAAGATCAGACTACATTGTGGTATGTCTGAATGAATACCCCTGCAGTTTTTTAATTTACTGTTTAAAGAAAATTTTAACAAACTGGAAGTAAATATATCAAATCCATTACTTGTATATATGCCTACATAATCATCTTTGAACCCAATTGCTCCAAACCACTGGCTTTTATAATTCACACTGATATACCTTATTAAATAAAATTCATTGAATAAACCAATTTTAAGAAAGTGATCATACGCAAAATCAGACACAGTTTACACTGAAAACACCAATTTTAAAAGGGGGTATGATACATTTCCCTCAAAATCTACAGCTTATTATTAACATTACAACTAAAATATACATTTTCTGGTAGCAGAGAAAGAATTTTTTCTACCAAGTTGCGGTGGAAATAAATATCAGCTATTTATGACAAGGAGATAACTGCTACCTTCTTAAGAGTGGAGGACCCACAATTTTTTATAATTCAGCTCTAGTGAGCACAAATCTTTTGTGACTGGAGCCCTACATGATGCAAATGACAATCTTTCAAGATCAAAACAAATCAGTGCAACCCTCAGAATGCATTAATACCATTCACAAATGGGAATACAAATGTCTTCTTCAAATCTATTACACAGCTTTTGGGGAAAAGAAACCCCAGAAATTAATTGAAAAAAAATGAAATGGACATGTTTAAAGCTCTTTATGTTAGACAGTGATTTCCAGTGTAATGTATTCAACCAGATGCAAAGGATAGGCCTGTTCCTTACATATTAAGCATTAATACATGCAAGTTTAAGGATCAGAACCAACACAGCAAAACTATAGCTCTAACTACTGAATAAAAGCAGGTAGTAAAAGCTTAATTACCAGTAGCATTATGCTGTCTATATTGTTAAATGTGAACTCTGTAATTAAGATGTAAATTTGGTTGTGAGAAGTGCATTAGAAGAGCTCTGAGATGTAAAGCCCAAGCATCCTTTAGACACACCATACAGACAAAAAAAAAGATTAGTTTTTAATCAAACCTTAAAACAAGATACATTTAATCATTTTACAGAATTAAAAACCCTTCCTTAAAAAAATACAGAGAAAAAGAAATGCTGTGGTTGTGGGAATCAGATCAACACTTGAAAATTAAATATTTATTCTATACTTGATTTCTTGATTTCCATATAAATCCAAAGTAAAAATCCCACTAACTGGTTTATTCATGCACATCTCCAGCAACATATAAACTAATAAACATCTTTAGTTTAAATGTATAACTTTAAATAGATATACATACTCTTAAAATAGCTATTTTCTAACTATATGGACATTAGGGTTTGAAATTCCTTCAGACTCTGTACCTGTGTGTTTTTTATTAAAAAATGATCCGTGTTGGAGATACACACACCCACACATGAGTCATTTGATACAGGTCATTTTTAAATCATTATTTCCTAGAACATATATAATTTGAAATAGGATTATTAAGCCATTTAAAACCTTATCAGACCAAAATTTACCTCATGTTTACTTTTGTTCATTATCTTTTAGACTGTATATTTATACTCAGCTGCTGAAAATCTGACAGTCAATTGCCTTCTCTCGTGGTCTGTCTTCCATCCTTTTCGTGTCCACATAGTTTTCACTACCCCTTAGCTTTCCCTCCCTATCCAATCTTTCTCTCCCCCTATTAACCATCACTATCTTTCCACCAACCATCTTTCATCCAGGCAAGCAGCTGCCTTCACTGCTGTGCTGCTCCTTAGATGACCAGAAACACAGTGCTATACTTTATGTGTTGATAAACAAAGCAGTTGGATTCCTCCGCTGGGACTGAAAGTGTCACCTCTACCAGACCAGGGTCTGGAATTCCAACTAGTTCCACTACTGAAATTCATCTACAGTTTTGAACATGGGTTTCCCAGTTACTGTTCAGCGCTTTTTTTTTTTAAAGCTACTACAGCAGATAACTGTAGTAAAAGTTCTCAATAAACCTTCTTGTGCCACATTTTAAATAAATAAAAAGCCCTGGGGAGAACATAAAATCAAGGTAGATTTTGGTTTATAGAACTTCCGTAAAGGATATGGATTAAAAATGCACATGTACACACACACAAAAAAATCTTACCATGAAGAGTATACAAAACATAGTAGAAATGGAACCAAAAAAAAGGGTATCTGTGTGTGGGGATTGGGGGGAAGGAAACAGTCACAAGTGTCCGCAGCAGTCAATGAGAATTACTGTGCAGTGTCTGCATCTCCACACATCTCCATGCATATAATTACCAAATGTAAGAACAGTACATCTTTAAGCATCTTCACACTTAAATGCAATCGACATTTCAAGGCATCCAAGGAGCCAGATTCCTAAACCACATCTACCTCAAGGCAACCGAAGAAGTGAAGATTCAGTGGCACTTTACAGAAGCAGCATAGTATATTATGACAAGAACGTATTTGCTTAAAAGAGACGAAAATACATTTGTGAAGGGGTCAAAAACATTATTAATTCCAGCGTCTGCTCAGAGATTATTTATTTTTAAATAAATACTTTTTCTGAACCTATTATATTTAAGAAGGCTGTTTCCCACCTCAGTAAAACCTACATATGGGCTATGAGATTTTCAATAAAGTTTTAATTAAATGTTGGAGTATCACTCGTTGTTTGAGAGGAACTATGAGAGGACCAAATTAATGTTTATTTGCCACTCTGCCAGGTAACTAGGTGAGCTAGTGTCAAATAAAAAACACAATTTAAATTTGTTTCATGCTATTCATGCTAATTTCATTAAAATTGCTCTGCTGCTGTCTCCTTCCTCCTAGACACATAACTGGTTTGGTTTTGGAGTTTGCCTTTAGTGCTTCTTATTAGAAGGGATGCAGTGAATCTATGGGCACACTGTTAATGTAGCGAAAAATCTTTTCACTAAAACGAGTTGCAAATTTTGTTCACCTGTTTTTAAATGGTTAGGCAAATGGTAGCAGGTAACTACTTTAGAACCATCTGCTTCTTCGATCTGTATTTAGTATTAATCACTCCCTGCTTTGATCCTACACAAAAAAAAACCAACACTACCTCAACATGTTCTTTAGAACTTCATCACAAAACAGGAATTGTTCTACACACAAAGCTGAGGGCTGTTTGTTAGTTTAAAAATTCGGTTTTAGCAGATGACATATCTTCTCTAAGAAATCACAGCAAACACTTTGCCATATTATCAAAGTATATTCAAGTCACCTGATCTTAGCAATACACTCCATATTTTCTATTTCCTTTATTTTCAAGAACACAGACGTTAATTTTTAAATAACTGCCTTCACTGCTACAGAATAGAACCTTTTCCTACTGTTGTAAGTGAAAATTGTTCTGCTGAATAAAAAACACCCTTTACAGAGCCTAAAAAAAGTGCCTACCCATTGCCCAACACTCAAAAAAAGGCTATTCTCATTAGAGAGAAATGAAGTGTCCACTCCAATATTGATATTTTTCGATTACACCAGGCTCTTACCCTAGTGTAAGTTTCTTCAGAGAAGCAGTAATGTGTTACTGTCTCAGACAGCCAAGGATAAAATGACTGAGGGAATTCAGTTGCTCTGTTTAATTAATACAGGATTATTTCACTTTCATTTTGTGAAGCTAATAATATGACTGGTGGAATGTCAGTAAAAATTAAATCATAAACTAGTGCAGTACCAAAGGGAAAACTTACTTTAGTTACAGAGTATTCCCAGCAGAAATCTTGAAAATCTTATACATATTTACACTGATAAAATACCACATGTACTTCATGGGACACTGCAAGCTTTCAACAATCCTTATGTCACGTATTTACAGAGCAAGAGTTAACATTTTGAGATTATACATTAATAAATGAGTTGCAGTTATATTGTTTCCTGAATGTTAAGCACCACATGTTAAATGCAGAAACACATTCAAGGTCAATGTCCTATTTTAGACCTTTTCAGCAGATGTGGTATTATGATAATCACACTTAAAATATTCCTATAGAAAGAGTAAATTAGCCCTTTTCACTAGAAAGATGATTATGATAAACAATAAATCTGAGAGGGGACAAATTCATATTGCTTTTTTCTAAAGCAATGAATTGCTGTTCTTTATTGTGATAGTGGCATTTTCATGCAAGAATTAAAAAAAGAAGGGCCCACATTATTCTGCTTTTGAATTCCCTTTTATTTGCTGAACGTTTTATATCTGAGAAAACATTTTTTTCCACAAAAATATGTTTTCCCTCAGAACAAAACAACAAGAAAAGAAATTCTGTCTTTCCTTCTCCTCTGCAACCTTCATGAAATATAGTATCCCACAAAACAAGGAGGCAACGAAGAAAAACTTAGCATCAAAGGCCATTCCTAAGTGAGATTAGGGTTTCAGTTCAGACTAATTGAGGTGCAAGATCTGATGGGTTGGCAGTGGGGGGTGGGTTTTTTTCTGGTCTACCACCTGATTGGAAGCTCAGGGAGCTAAAAATAGAAAAGAAGATGGAGTGCAA